TCTTGCTGATTTTTCACCGTCGTTTCCTTCCTCACTTCCTCGCCACGATCTTTCTTGGCGAAAAACTTCAATTATACGCGACTTCTCTCACTCTTTCTCGTTCTCTCTTCACGTAAACGTACGTCCGATGTTCCGGGCTACGTTCTCACTTTGCGACGAGCACGTATACGAGTTTCGGAGCACTTCGTATCACTCACTCACACTCTATCTCTCTCCCTCTAACTGGTTGTCCGTCTCTCCTTTCCTTCTCACTCGCTTTCTCTCTATTCCTCTCTCTCTCGCCCTCTCTCTCGCTTGTTCACCCTGGCCTTCCGTCGTCGGCCACCGCCGGGAATACCGAAGAGGAGAAGCACCGTGCGATCACACGAATCCTACGGGCACTCGATGGGATCAACGGGAACCACCTTCGTTCGCACGTACTCGCTCTCTTTCTCTCTCTCTCTCTCTCTCTCTCACGTCTGTTCGTCGCCCGCGACGATGCTCGATGCACGATGGCACGGTCGAGACGGCGCACGCGGACGTACGCACGCACGCACGACTATCTTCACGCTGCGCGAGGACGTGATGCGACCTCGATGCGAACGACAACGTCAACATCACCACCGTACGCTTTCGTGGCGGCCATCTTTTTCGGGGATACAGTGGCGATACGCGAATCGCGGAACGTGAAACGCACGCGCGTACATGGGTGTAAGTGCGCGAGGGCGCTGCGCGCGAGCGAGCGAGGTCCACCGCGCGTAGCTATGCTCGCGCCCGGTGTGTGCGTCTGTGTGTTGTGTATACCGTGCAAGAGGGACGTGCAGGGATGCGGCGGGCGTGCAAGAGCCCCAGCACTTAAAAGTATTCTCCTTCGATAATATAAATTACAACAAAAATGTATTCCTCTTATATTAATTATTTCTAGAGAGAGAATCAAGAATTTAATCTTTATAAAAATAAAGCTTCCTTTCAGTTCCAGTTGGAATGAATATTACTTTCCCTGCATATTCCATTTCCTTCGTATTTTTGGCTGTGAAAAAAAGAAAGAGAAACGAAAAAAAATTGAAAAACATGGAAAGCGCGCATCTTAGAACTAAATGAATTAAATTAGAATATATTTAAAAGTGGTTTTTGACATAGTAAAACAATGAAATAATAATAAAACAATGACGCTATAGTAGACACTTTTTGTAAATAAATAAATTACATATACATATTTTACGTATATTCGATGATTCCAAATTCGCACATCAAAATATCGGAGCATCTCGAATGGTAATCGTTTCCGATGCGTCCCTGGCACGACGCACACGCGGTGGTCAAACATGTCACGTACGCGGCCGTCGTGTGGAGCACGCGATACCGGCTGGGTTCCGTGGAAGGGGATGAAGTAGTGCGCACAAGCGCGCACACGAACGCTCAGCGGCCATGACAGCCTGGTTGACGAGCGGACTTCCGACGGAACGCGGAACCGACCGACCATCGTTCCGCGCGTTCACCGGGAAGTTATGGCGCCACATTCGACCGCCTCGGAAAACCAACGAGGAATCGTTTGAGAGCGGTCCACACCGGCCTTTTTAATGCAATCATTAAAGCACTAGCGCCAACTAAGAAAGTGGACGTAAATTATTTAGCCATGTCCATTTTTCTGCACTGCTGATATATCATTTTTCTTTTTAATCCGTATCCGATTGTTCCCTAATTTGTTCATAAATGGAATCACATTTTTGGCTTTGTATAATATGGGACTAAACTTTATTCTGTTAGAATTTTCTTGTTAGAAAAATCATAAATATTTAATTTCCTTTTCTTTAAATGATTTTACTTTTATCGAATTGCAATCAATGAATCTTGATATTAAAATTTTCTAATTGAATAAAATTAAAAAATTAGATCTCAAATAAAATTAAATTCAATAAGAATAAATTTGTAAAGAGCTCCCTCTACATCTCTACTGATTAGAATCGATCCTCTTTTGTTTAGATGTGTTCTTTTTATTTCTTTTTATTTCTTTGTTGTTTGGAATTTATTTCGCATTAATATAGAGATTAACCAGTGTGCAGAAAAAATGAATGTGACTTACATTCACTTTCTCAATTGGCGCTAGTGCGCGAACATACAATGATTACAAAATCAACCGTCGTCACTCTTACATTTATTTTTGCCGTGATCAACATTGTCACCGATAATCGGAGCTCATGTAAAAGTACACTCTTGCAAATGCTTTGAAATTCTCCGTTTATTCATCTAATTCAATGTTATTGTATATATTTAAAATTAAAAATAAGCTAATAAATTTGAAAGACAACCGTATAAAATGTCAGCGCCAAAATTTTAAATTTTGCGCTTGATTAAATTTTCTTACTTAACAAATTAGTACTTATTTCGAAATAATGCCGTTCAATAGCATCGAATTTCTCTTTATTCTAATCAAATGAAATTTTAACAAGATAAATGTGATTTTATAAATTAAGGCTAATAATCTGAATGTAGATTTTTAAAAATATTTAATCTAAAATTAATTTTTCACGGCACACTCTTGAGATGTAAAAATTTTTTTTAAAAACTAATTTGCAAAAAAACCGTATCTCTTTTAAATTTTGCTATTCGCTTAACATTTATATTTTATTTAATTAGAAAACGATAAATATTAATTTCATTATTTTTTGTTTAATATACGATAATTTTTTTCGATTTCAAATGTATTTTGAATTTCATGAATTTCATTATTTCCATGAGTGGAAACTTAAATTTCTGCTATTTAAAATAGAAGCTTGAATGAAGTTATTTTCTTTGAAGAAGTTAAACAGAGAACAAAAGGGAACAAATGAAAACAGTTTTTTTGAAATATAATTCTATTTCCACTTGATGTTCTATAAATCATCCCCTCAAAAAAAACAATTTCAATATTTCACTCTTGTGCTTTGTAACAAATATAAAAATGTTAAAAATATTTTTAACAATACAAAACATCAAGTATGAAATTTCTTTAAGGAATAAACTTCCTTACGTTAGAAAAACGTTATATAAACCTGTGTTTACAAATTTGTCGTCTTATATAAATCGTAAATATGAATATAAAGATACTTTTTTCTCAACAGATATATATATTCGATGGCTTAGAAATAAATGCTTTTGTTGATTACATGTACAATCAATGTACATTAAGCTGGTTTTTTAGAGCAAAGCTTGAAACTTGTTTTTTTATTTTGATTTCATCTGTAAGCCGGACTATCTTCGTGGCTTAAAAAATTAAATTCTATCAAAGTTGTAATAGTTTCAATCTTCGCTCTATATAAGTGTCTTAACTCTTTCACTATCACGGGTGATTAAAGTCGCTTGCCACAAAATGTTCTTCACATACCATGAGATTAAAATCGCTCGAAAAGATCAAATCAAATAAAGTAACTGCGAATAAGTAATACAAGGCCTATAGAGATTGGACGAGAGAAACATGGCTGATAGATTGAATTATGAACAAGTAAACTCAAAACGCTAAAGACGTTTGTATGTGAACTGTACTTATGGCATAGCAGTCGGTTTAGCAAAAACGGTCAGGGGCCAAACCAGCGGTAGCGAAAGGGTTAGGAAGGATGGTAAGGAAGATGGAATGTTTCATCATATTACTCCATCAAAATTTGTGCTTTGGAAAAATAGAAATATTGTTTGTACATAGACAGTTCCTCTTCGATCTAATCAGCGATCTGAAGTTGCAAAATTAATATTTTACGATTTCTTGTACCGCCGCGACAATGTTACGTGCACTGATGCCATAATTATCGAGCAATACCGCTGGCGGGCCAGAACGCGGCACGTCTGGTACTGCTAACTTCTTTACTATTATATTTCTTTCCAAAGCGACCGCGGATTGAACTGTCTCTCCCAGACCTCCCTGAGTGTAATGGTCCTCAACAGTAACGATTCTGCCGTCAACCTCTTTAGCATTCTTTATGATCGTTTGCGCATCAATAGGTTTAATTGTGAATGGATCAATTACACGAATGTTGATTCCAACTTTGGCTAATTCGTCTGCCGCCTTTAACGCCTCGTGCAATGTTACACCGGCACCAATCACGAGCGCTTGATCCTTCGCGGAAGACCTGACCACTTTGGCTTTACCGATAGCCAGTGACTCATCGTTCTTGTACAAAACGGCTGTAGCCGGACGAGAAGTGCGAATAAAACAGATGCCTTTGGTGTTAGCCGCCAATTCGACAGCGCGCTCCGTTGACACAGCGTCACTCGGATAAAAGATAGTAGAACCCGGAACAGCGCGGAACATGGCGATATCCTCTAAGCCCATTTGCGAAGGTCCATCTTCGCCGATAGACACGCCACAATGCGAGCCAACAAAGTTCACGTTCGTTTGTGATATTGCACCCATGCGGATCTGTAATAGAAGTTAATAACACATTTACCTATTTCTTCATTATGTTAATTTTCATGAATCTAATTTGTGCCTCACTTGATCGAAAGCACGCGTGAAGAACGTTGCGAAAGCTGACACAAATGCGACAGTGCGGTCTCTGCAAGCGGCACCAATTGCAACACCCACAACATTTTGTTCGGCGATGAATCCTTCGATAAATCTAGCCGAATCGACTGTTTTTATCTTCTCAGCATAAGTAGAATTCTTCGTATCACCTATCCAGAGCTATGACACGAGGATTACTCTTTGCAAGCTAAAATAAGATAGTTGGAAGATACATTTTAACACTGTATTTTATTCAGGCAAATTCTTTAAACCAATAACAATAACAACATACTTTTGCAAGAGCCGTGCCATAAGCCAACCTAGTAGCTACTTGTTCACCTAGCTTGTAATTTGGAGGTGAAGCCAATGTGATATTGCTGATGTCTACAAGAGGAGCATCGTCGACAATCGGCTTTTGTGGATGCAGTCCAAGAGGACCAGAATTCTTCAAAAGTCCAGTCAAGTGCTGTAAAATTACAAATTAAATATATTAAAATAAAAATTATTATAAATTCTTAACTTTTATTATTAATATCCAAACATTACTATGTTACATTATTATGCATACATTGATATTAGTGTAATATACCTGAATAACTTCAGTTGCCTTGTTACCCAAAGGCTTGCCATGCCAGTTATCCAGATCTTCAATCTCAGGGAAGTTTTTACCTTTAAAAGTCTTAGCTAAAATGGCAGTGGGACGTCCTTTTGTATTTTGTGCTTCATGGAAAGCCTAAAAAAATAACACAATTTTATTAGTAAGTTCAATTAGATTATCATTTAATTAGCATACATACCTTCGCCAATTCTTCCACATCGTGGCCATCCACAACTAAGGCATTAAAACCAAAGGCCTCTAATCTTTTGCGGTAAACTTCCATATTGTGTTGCAATGAGGTCGGCTCGCTCTGTCCGAGACGATTGATGTCAAAAATGGCACAAAGATTGTCTAACTTATAATAAGATGAAAAATGAAGAGCCTCCCAAATGGAACCTTCAGCCGATTCTCCATCACCAATCAAACAATAAACACTAAAAGAATAAACATATATATGTTATTAAAGAAATTAAAAAAGAAAAATTGAACATTGTAAAAATAACATTGTTAAAATAATTTACATTATATGTATAAAACTAATTTGTTAAATATATAATAGATATAAAAAAGCGTACCGATAACTGGCTTTATCGTAATTCTTTCCGACATAAGCCATGCCTGCAGCGATTGAGAGGCCTTGTCCTAATGAACCAGTTCCTACATCTACAAAATTAAGCCTTGGGGTAGGATGTCCTTCTAAATCGCTATCGAATTTTCTCAAATTCAACAACTCGCTAGATGGGAACAAGCCTGCTTCCGCCCATGCTGTAATATAAATGTTAAGTATATTACTATAAAACAATTATTTAACGGATTATAATGTAGTAAATTAATTAAAATTTAAAATTTCATCATTCAACATGTCATCAAACATTCATCATATTAATTTAATTTAGACAGATTAAAATATTTAAGTGTGATATTTACAATATATATAAATAAATTACATTAACGTATAAGAGAGATGATACATGACTTCTTCAATTTTCGTGACTTCGTATGAGAGTCGACTCGTAATCGGAATTCGATCTCGATTCTCATCTCATACATGTTTTTTATCAGAGTTGATTTAAAAAATTTGGAGATTGTAAATGAAAGAGTTATGAGGTGAACAATAACTCGTATTGGTAACTCAGTATTTATTCACTCAAAGTAGCATAGGAATTTATTAACAGTAAACTTACCTGCATAAAGAATTGGAGCTGCATGGCCTTTGCTGAGGACAAATCTATCACTATTTGGATCACGTGGCGCTGATACTTTGTACCGCATTGTGTGGAAGAAGAGAACGGATATAATTTCCGCCATGGACGAACATGATGTCGGATGTCTGGAGTAAAATGAAATATAAATCAATAGAAAATCGAATACAATCCGAATGACTTAATTTTAATTTCACAAAAGAAAAATAAGTTCATGAGTGATAATGTAATAACTTCATAAATAATAATCATTTTCTGTCTTCGAAATATTGGTTCATATCGACGATAAAGTTCTGTTCACTTCTGTGTTTCTTTAATCTGTTTTTCTCAAAATCACTCACTTACCATCGTGGCAAGGTCAAAATATCGATAATGTGATATCAAAATATCCTATCTTCGAACATATGCAACCTTTCTTCTCAGGGTCACAAAAACAACATTGCGATATTCATGGATTTAATCAACATTCATTACAAAATATGTTACATAACTTATCATTATTTGTGATCATTTCATTTAAAGTCACACGATTAAAGTCTTATAATTTTTTCTTGTAAATTTTTCTACATTTGTTTTTAGAAAATTATTATTATTTAAAAAAATAAAGACGAATGAAAGTTGAATTCAGCAAAAATTTGAAAAAAATTCATCGTAAAATCTATTATTAAACACTAATATAACAATAACTTTATATTTTTATCTAGTATATATTTAAAACATATATTAATATATTTAACACATTCACTATTACAATAATCGCCGATGCTTAACATTGTTGCTCACAATTAATATATGTATAACAAATGAATATATTTTCATTTACTACATTTACTACATCTTGTTTTTCATTAGAAACTAAACTAATGTAATTGAACCTAGAAACTTGGCGGAATGTGTTAATACGATTTAAAAATTAAAAATAATATCTTTCTCTAGACAGAAGGAAGCCTGATGTCTGTAGAAGCAATCCACGTTAATCAATTAGGTAAAGATAATTTACAATATTCTCGTCGTACCCGCTCTTCGATGCCTCAGTCGCTCGCACGCATTCGATACGCAGGTTATTGGCCAGATCCTGAAGCTTTTCCATATTCGTGTCTCGTACCATCGTGAACTGAACTACACTCAAAGTCTTCCGAAACTATCGTTAACAGCCGAGCGTTCGATCGCGACTGCCGGCGAGAGGAGTTTCGGCAAACGAAATGAAACGACTGCGCGCGATTATCTCCCTACCTCTTCGTCTCGTCGCAATATGACGACGACGACGACGACGACGACGATAAATTGCTTCGAATATATAGGATGTGTCATGAAACATGAAATACTAAGAGAAAGAGAAGAAGCGTTCTATAAGCGTAGAATAGCTTTTCCGTTTTCAAGTACTCGAGATATCATTTTCCAACTAAACACGCTCTCCTACTTAAATTGCTATTTGTACTTGAATTTATGCTTTAACCGTGCAATTAATTATTTTAATTATTTTAAATTTATACATATAAAATTCAAAAATAACAAAGATTTATCAGCCTTAGAGATTATTACACTTGTCTTTGTGTTCCTTTATCTCGATTTCTACTACAATTACCTGGGCTTTACGTGACCCGAAGCTGTAAACTTAAAGCGGAAAATCAAGATGATATCACTCCCTATTTTCGCCGAGTATGCTTTAGATAATCATTCAACAAAGTATGTAAATGCAACTTTGCATTTACAGTAAAATTGCGTAGAACAATGTTTGCTGCGCGTACGTAGTATACTCGATTTGCACACCAATAATTCATACGTATATTTCGATAGACGTCTCTTACATAATCGAAATTATTCGCTTTTACTAAAAAAAAATTTTTTTTTAATTGATATTTAATTTGATTGAATCTTCGTATATGGCTTAAACAAATTTCGATTTCTTTCTCTATAACTATCTTTAAAAATATAATTCTCTTTTCTTTTTTATTTTTTTTTAAATTGAATCTGTATAACATTATGTAACTTTAAAGTCACATATTCATATATCTATATTTTTAAATATTATTTAATTTTCATCATAATTTAGCACAGCATTTTATTGTTATATCATTTTTTGGTAACAAAGCAGTCTGATTTTATAATTTTATAATAAAAAGAAATCAAGATTTTTATTAGAAACCTAATTTTTATAATAAAATATTAAGAAACTAAAAATTAATTTAAAAAAACAGAATAAAAATTGGTAATATAAGGCTGATAAATCTTTGTTATTTTTTAATTTATATGTATAAATTTAAGATAATTAATTGTCAGTTTATACATATATTATAGTCCATAATCAATACATTAATACATTAAGTAATATTTTTTTTTATGTATAAAAAAGGTTTGAGTTATATATTAATGAATATCTGTCTTTGTATAAGAATTTGGATAACTCCTTTTTATTTATTATATTCGAAATTGTGTAAATTGTTTGTTAGAAAGTTTAATGCACTGCTTTTATCGTATTTCCTCTACGCTGCGTGACCTCGATAAATGCAAGTGTATGACTCCTTCACTTCTTACCTAGTTCTTACGATCATTCCCACACAAATCAAGAAATATAAAATGACAATCGAGAAAGATATTATTCATCAAGTCAATTCTTACAAGCTATCCTTGCGAGATGTAACGGTTTATTTTTTTCCGTTATTAAACAACGCGTATTTTTGTATCATTGAATTTTTTATAATTAAAAATGTTAACTTATTAACTTTAAATATAGACAATAATATAACAAATTAAACAAATCCGAAAATTTGAATTTTTATGTAATTTGTACAGAATATCGTCGCATTCAATTGGCAGAATAATATAAATATAAATTACAATTTAATATAATAACATAAATACATATAAATTACAACTTTTCTTTTCTACTTTGACGAAAATTGTGAAAATGCTGGAAATGGGAATCATAGAGCGTGAGAACGTGCTGACAGTCTCTTTCAAAGAAAAACTAAGCTAGCAATTTCCTAAATTAGATCGCCGTAGCGACATTCCGGCAGTGGCGACGCAACGAAAAAAGATCACGGTTAGTGTGTGAGAAAAATTTTATAATTTAGTTTAACATGACATAATTTAAGTAATGAATCTCGTATACAAAAAATTGCTAACGTTAAAAAATGATATTAAAAAGAATAAAGGGATGCATACTTTTTCCACTTTCCATTTTAAAACATAAATATGCGAGAATCGATAAAATTATATCGAGACAGATTATGTTAGTACACAACCTGTAATTTATATCGATTGTTGCTTCTTTTCTGTTCGTCATGAATAGAATCCAAATTCATTTGATTACAAAATACGAAACTATGAAGAAACTGTGTTGAGGAAACTGAAATTACCAAGTTTGAAGTATTTTAGCTCTCTTAGTTAACTAATTAGAAATAATAGAACTAGTTAATTTCAAATAAGTTAACTTTCAACTCTCTAGCTAATTATTTCTTAAAATATATTAATTCTAACTTTTCAATCTTTTTATAAATTAAAATCTTCTATCATGTAATTTTTTATGTTCTATCATTCAAAGTAATCTAATTTTTAAAAAATTACATTTAATTTCAATATAAATAAACTTTTTAAAATTATTTTTAAATTTAAAATTATTCTTAATTTTAAAATTATGTTTTATTAATTTAAAATTCAAGTTTTTTGTTCATGCAACTGAATTAATTTTAAAACCCATTAACTTTAACTTAACTTGAGTAGAAAAACTAATTTATCCAATCTTAGATCCAATCTAAATTTCACTATATACTTTCGTCTTCATAATTCTTTTTAAAACTGCCTGATTTTTTTACATTTTACTTTAATTAAAATCTTTATACTTATCTTGATATTTTGAACAATTTCATTTCTTTTGGTATTACATTAATATGATATACACAACTCCTTAAAATCGTAAAATTTTATTGAAAAAAACCGAAAAACTCTTTTTTTGAATGTTTCATTTATTCTTTATTTCAAACGCAAAATAGAAGCTCAATTCTCATGCAGATTCCATCACAATTCCCTTAATATTTTAAAATCAAGATCGAAAGATAGAAAATTTCAACTCGGATATTCTTCTAAAAATTTATTCGATCTCTCGTTCACCTTCGTGGTGCAGAATTGGACTGCTTTCAGAGACTAATAAAAAGCACTATTATTATAAATTATAAATTAAGTCAATACCGGAAATGAATGAATTTAAACGCTGAATCAATATTTTGTATTTGCACTTTGCACAACTGCATTTTAATTTGTATAATATAAATAGTCGCGTTTCATTAATGCATAATCATGACGCTCTTATCAGGAATCGCGAGGATCTATATATCGGATCATGAAAACGTCTCAAAATATGTACATATTCTTTCTTGAGTCATACTCATTTAATTTATAATCCATGTTATAAAAATACATATTAAACGCGCGAGTATCAGGTTAACGCGCGTGTCAAATTTTTTTTAACTTTGCTTCTCCTGCAGTTTTTTAACTCCTCTCCGTCACCCTTCTTCTCCCCGACCGTCCTTCACGGCTCACCGTCTGCCATTTCAAATGCAAATAAAGCGGGAAGACAGATGAAGGTAACGTCTCGATGTCATCTCGATCGATATGCAACAAATTACGCGGGAACTTCCGAACCTGCGGTTACATCATTATCGCGCGACCACGTTCTCGCTTATCATCATCACCCGAGCGGTGACGGCGGTGGCGATGCCCCCCGCTTCTCCGCCCCGCGTCCGCGGGTTCGTTTCGCCGGTTGGCGCGCGACGCGCTCATTATCCTCATCGGTGATTGAAGAAGGAACGATATATATAGTTGGGTCTTACTTACCCGGATTTACTGGCCTGCGTGGCCTCGACCGCGTGAATCCTCAATTTGTTCGCGATGTCCCGCAGCTCCTGGGTAGTCTTCGACTGTAGCTTGTGATAGTTCGCCATGTTTCATCCGCGTACCTGCCTGCCTGCAACTCGCTTTGGGACGGAGCCTCGTGGCTTTTTCGACGGTCTCCGTAAAAATGCAACGAGCGTGCGCGTGCAACAAGTACGTAGATTCGCGGGAGCCGAGAGCCGCCGAGCGCAGCCGAGCGTGGCCGAGTACGGCCTATAGACGTAGATTGCGTTCCGATATTCACTGGTCTAGTTTACATCGAAGTCTTCAATTCGATTTTACTTTGGTATGGATTAAGTTTAATATGCTGTTTCCATCGAAAGTAAAGATTTGTGGATCGAAGCGAGATTGAAATGAGCGCAATTTGTCGCGTTTCCATCGACTCAAATCTGATTCTACGTCGTATTAAGAGCGAATTAAGACATAGGTGGAAACTAGACCAATGTCAGTACTGAAAATCTATAATATACGTGACCTAAACTATATATTTTCAGTACTGGCGGAATATCGGAACGCGGTCGTCTAGTTTCCATCGAGCTTTAAGCTAATAGTGCATAGAAAAATGTAGCAAAGCCATACGCACAGTGAAGGAAATATTAAGAACGGAAATGAATATTAAATTTTGGAAATGAAAATCTTATATTTATTTGCGTGCGTTACGTTTAATCTTTATTCCGAATTTTTATTTCCTAAATTTAATATTTATTCCTGTTCCTAATATTTCCTCCATTGTATGCAGGGCTTAAATATTAAATTTTAAAAATAGAAATTAGAAATAATAATTAAACGACGATTAATGCTGGATTCAGATCAGCGCGATGACACAATATTTCAAGAAAAGCTGTATTCATTGGATATCGCATCGTGTGTCGTGTTATCGCGCTGGTCTGAATCCAGCATAAGATGACGTGGGCAATCGAACTTTATTCAATTCATATAAATGCAATATTCGCGAATAATAAAAATAATGATAATGGTAGTAATTGCAAGAATGCTAGTTATTTTCCGAAATTTCGGAATTTTCTTGAAAATTTTACGAGAGTCGTCTGAAAAGTTTTGAGCCTAATATAGGAACAAGTATTTTTTCAATCAAATTCAGCTTTATTTTTCAACATAATCTCCTTTTAAATCAATACACTTTTTCCAGCGATGCTTCCACTCCTTTAACCCATTCAAATAATAGTTGGCGTCTTGCTTTGCAAAATAGGCTTCTACAAATGCGATGATCTCCTTGTTCGACGAAAATTTTTGTTTCCTGAGCCAAACTTTAAGTCTAGGAAATAAGAAAAAGTTGCTAGGAGCCAGATCTGGTGAATATGGTGGGTGGTCAATCAATTCGAACTGCAATTCGTGAATTTTTGCCATGGCGACCACCGAAGTGTGAGCCGGTGTGTTATCTTGATGGAACAGCACTTTCTTTTTCTTCAAATGTGGCCGTTTTTTTGCAATTTCTGTCTTTAGCTTGTCAATTAATGATGCATAGTATACCCCCGTTATTGTTTTACCTTTTTCAAGATAGTCGATGAACACAATTCCATGACTGTCCCAAAAAAAAGTCGCTATCACCTTTTCGGCCGATGAAATTATATTCGTCTTCTTCAGAGCAGGTTCATCCTTCGCAGTCCACCGGTTTGATTGTTCCTTCGTTCCAGAAGTGAAATAATGGATCCAAGTTTCATCAACAGTTATTAATCGACTCAAAAAATCCGACTCGTTTCGTTTAAACCGCTCCAACAGGGTCTTGGAAATGTTCATTCGAATGCGTTTTTGGTCTACAGTGAGCAAGCGCGGCACCCAACACGCATTTAGCTTACATATGTTTAATTCTTTAGTCAATATATGACAAACACGTTCTTTCGATATGCCCACGGCTTCTGCTATCTCTCTAACTTTGATTCGACGGTCATCCAGTATCATTTGGTGAATTCTTTCAATATTATCGGCAATGGTCGCAGTTGTTGGCCGTCCTGAACGCTCATCATCAGCCAAGCTGGTACGACCACGTTTAAATTCAGCTGCCCATCTTTTCACGGTGGCAAATGATGGAGCAGAGTCCTCGTAAATAGCGTCTAACTCGGCTTTAATTTGCGTAGGCGTATTGCCTTTCAAATGCAAGAATTTAATCACGGCACGATATTCGATTTTTTCCATTTTTACAAAACATCTACTGATCGATTTTACAAAACATCTACTGACACGAATAACGATCAAACAATAACTGAGCGTCTAAAATGGCTACAATTTTCATAGTATCTTTCAAAGCATGTAATTGTAATACCAGGTTAGTTAACGACACCGACGGTTGTCGGTGACATGTACAGAATCCTGGCCCAGATTGGTTTTGATGACTAATGCCATCTTCGTGTTGAGGTTCAAAACTTTTCAGATGACCCTCGTATTTGATTAACGTAGTCACTGGCATCTATTTTGAATTGAATGCTCCATGCCGCGGTCACGCGTTGTTTTGACATGGAAAGGGAAACCGTCAAAGTTGTGACGTTTGGGCACATCGTGTGAATCTTATGAATGAAATATTTCGTACGTAATTCTTATTTTAATATAAATATTTTTCTTACACGATTCTTGGACGATTCTCGGACGATTTCTTAAGCAATATCAGTAAAAATATTAGTTAAATCGAATAGAGACTGACAACATTCGTTATCAAGCTAGTGTCATTAGAATTTATATACATTCGCGTTGATTGCACGATAATTGCATCATTGATCTAAAAAATATTTATGAAGATATTTAATTTGCATAATATCTTTACATTTTTTTAATATTTTCTAATTATGAAATTATTTGTTATGTCAATGACGTATTTTTTGAGGTTATTTTAGTTGAACTAATTTTTAATATTTATGTTTATTTTTACTAATATAGATTAATCTTAATGTTAATTTAATTTATTTTTTATTTTCTAATTCTTGGTTCTAATAATCAGATAAAGACTTAGATCAAAATCAAAGTTAGTCTATGTTGATAGAAATAGACATTATTTTTTTAATATAATTCAAGTTGTAACAAGAACTTTAATGTAAACTTGAATCATAACTTTATTCTTTATTATTTGTACTATAAGTTTGGCTTTATATTTTATATTTTATTTGTTATACTTCTTTCCTCTATCATTGGATTACTTTATTGTTGACAGGAGGAAGAATGATACAGACTGCCTGTGATCCTACATTCGAGAGACATTTTAAAGGTCACAAAGATAAAATCACAGCTCTATGCTTTCATCCAAATGCTATACAACTTGTATCAAGTAGTCTGGATAAAACATTGTTGGTATGGAACTTGACAGAATCAGTGCGAGCTTATAGATTTATAGCTCATAAAGATGGTGTTTTGGATGTGTGCTATGCACCATCTGGAGAAGCTATAGCCAGTGCTTCAAAAGACAGATCGGTCCGAATCTGGATTCCTAAAGTTACAGGACAATCAATAGATTTTAGAGCTCACAGTTCTGCTGTCAGGTCAGTGCAGTTTAGTCCAGATGGAAAAAAGGTAATATTTGAATATAATTCAATTCATTAATATAAATATCGCCATAAGTCTTTGTAATTATGATTTTGTTGATACTTTTAGTTACTCACTGCATCAGATGATAAAAGTATAAAGCTATGGACAGTATGTCAAAGAAGATTCCTGACATCATTCAGTGGGCATACTAGTTGGGTTAGGTGTGCTAAATTTTCTCCTGATGGGAGACTCTTAGTGTCGTGTAGTGATGACAAAACAATAAAAGTATGGGACATCACCAGTGGACAATGTGTCAAAACCTTTAATGAGATAAAAGGTTTGTTGAACGAATAATAATTTCATATCTTGGACATCCAGAATAAATTTTGCTATATTAGCTCCTGCCATCTATGTGGAATTTCATCCAAGCGGAGCAGCTATTGGATCAGCAAATGTGGGTGCATGTGTTAAAATATACGATCTAAGAACAGGCTCTCTTTATCAGCATTATGCTGCTCATAAAGGTCCTGTAAATATGATCAAATTTCATCCGAAAGGTAACTTCATGTTGACAGCTTCTAGCGATTCTACAATGAAGGTAATTTAATATTCTGATTTGATATAAAAGTTTCTTGATAAATAAGTAATATATTTGCTAATGAGTTAACGAGAAATATCGGCTAGGTTTTAGATCTACTAGAAGGCCGTCCAATCTATACTCTCAGGGGTCATAATGGTAGCATAACATCTATAACATTTTCGCAAGATGGTGAATTTTTCACTTCTGGTGGCGCAGATCAACAAGTTTTAATGTGGAAATCTAATTTTTGTAAGGATGATCAACCTAGAAAGATTTCTAAACAATTAATATCTTCTATCAATAAACGGAAACGCGACGATGTAGATGGGAAATCACATGCAAAAAGTGACAAACATGAGGAAGATGTATATGAGGAGCAGAAGGATGAGGTAATAACTTAATATATAAATGCAATCGATCAAACTGAGAAGTAAAAATAATCGATTTGGTTAGCAATAGTTAATTTTATTAATGTTATTTCAGCACTTATTAGACACATTAGGAGAGTTGGATTTGGAATCGAATAGAAATTATTATAAAGGACCTATAAATGAAATATCTTTGAAGAAAGTCGAACCTGAAGTGATTAATATGAAGAATATTAAATCTCGCGAAAGAGATCATATAGCAAACGTGCCAATTCTACAAGATCAGATGTTATTTCATGCACGTTCATCTAATCAATCTGTTAAAGCAGTAGAAGCACTCCACAATCAAGTGCAATCATTACATGACGTTATTAATGTATTGGAACAACGCTTGACAGTATTAGAAGAAACGTTTAGAAAGAAAACTTGAATCTTCAATTACTAGGTTATAATTATTAATTATTTGTTATTTGTATATACATTTGTATGAATATATATTTGTACAATATTGAAAAATGATTAATTTTCCTAGCAGCAATCAAAATAATTTTACAATGTATTTTACAAAGATCATTCAAGAATTCATTGACGACTATTTTAATGTTTTATATTACGAAGAAATGCAGTGTGTTATATATACATTTATCGTGTCAAGAGAAATTCAAGAAATATAACTTGTGATACGCAAGTTACTTAGAACAATAGAAAATATTTTGTTATATATCTTAAA